GATTGCTAGGCAGAGATCGACACGGGATACTTCGACAGCCGACTGGCACAGAGTGGCGATGTTCTGCTTTCTTCCTTGGGAATAAACGCCGTCAGACTCAGTCGTGCTTCTGAATGAAGCATGAGCTGTTTGGCTAGTTAATTACCAACCTGCTAAAGGAGGGTCTAAAGCAGCCTTCCCCAACTTTGTGTCCTCCAGACGTGTTTGATTCCGGTATCCATAATGCTCCACGAGCATAGCCATGTTGGTTGCAAAGTCCGGGAGTTAAACTTACCTGGCGGGCAACAGGGAAGGGATAATGTTGAGGGAGCCGGGTGATATGCTAAGAAAACGTATTGTGAATGTAATGCTAATTACATTCATGAATGTAATGCTAATTACCTTCGTGGGTCTCAGTATTTTTAAGTCTAACTCGGCATGGTGTCTTGTTTGAATGAGGGGGACGTAATGGTAAAAACGGCTCATAATAGATACTTTTTAAAAAAGACTTTCTCTTAAGTTTTCATCAGTTCTTCAGCTGTCCAACTTGTACTGAATGTCCTCTAATGCAGTGGTTCTTAAACTGGGACTAATGGAGCAATTTGTAATTGCTTGTTTGTGAGTCGAGGATCTAATTTGGAACTGCTGCTGTCCAGAGGCTCCTGTAAAACAATAGAATCTGTTTTGTGTGTGTTCGGTGTTTGTCTGTAATGGCATTATTGCAGACCGAGAAAAGAGGTAACTGGGTCAGACAGTTTAAGAACTACTGCTCTAATGGATATGGCCTCTCATTACCTCTTATGGTGGAGTAATTAGAATGTGTTTCATATGGGTGCATGGGACAGAAAAACATTGCTAATAATTTCTATAGATAGCTGGGATGTTTTGCAGGAAAAAAGGAATCATGTCAAAGATTTTTTTAAAAGTTGTTTTAAAATATATTTCTAGCCTATTTATTCTGTCCTATAGATTTTTATTTATTATTAAATATGTAAATATCTCTTCCCATAAACTTTCAATGACCTTTACAATCAAATTTAAAATGTTCATAAAATAATGCAAGTAATTAATGTACCCGAATAACACACTGAATTTGACTCAATAGCTGCTGGGTAGCTAGAACAGTTGCTTCAATACAAGTATAATATGTGCATGGCCAGGTGCCCCACTCAGCAACCTAGCAGTCATTCTACATCATTTTTTGCTTCCAGAGCAGATACAAGGTAGTTCCAAAGTGTATTACAATAATGAGTCCATCAGGTTATCAGCATGTGGACTGTGGAGTACCAGCAATGGGTAGACTATCATTGTTCAGGAAATGGCATAGCCAGTAAGACATCCAAAACTGGAAATAGGCACTTTGGAGCATAGAGCTCTTGTGACAATAATGATTCTAAGCAGCACCCTCAAGCTAGTACTTATTCTTTCTCAGACAGTATATTTCCATTTAGATACATGGACTCCCCAATTTGCATACCTTGAAATCATCTACCGGTAAGGTTGATCTGGGCAGGATTCACCCTGAGTTTTACACTCAGTCCACCCATCACTGTATCTATATGCACAGCATCTCTCAGTTCAAAAATTATGAAGTAGATTTGGCTTGCATCAGCATATTGGTGGCACCTTGTCTCAAAAGTACTGATGACCTCTCCCAGCAGTTTCATCCAGATCCTGTAGTTTTGGGGACAAGATAGCACACTGTGGCACCTCACAGTACAGCTGCTAAAGTGGCACAATGGAGTCACTCATTACTACTCACTGAGACCATCAATGCAAGTAAGAAATCAGTGCATCTAATCTCCAAAACACATGGATTATTCAGAAGGATGCCATGGTCAACAGTGTTGGAAACATCTGAGAGATCCAGTAGGATCAAGAGAGTCCATGCTGAAATGAGTCAAGATAATTAATTCTTCCAAAAATGTCTACATCTGCATGAAAATTCTTTCCAGTACTTTGCCCCCCAAAGAGATATTAGTGATTTGTGATACATGCATATATGCTATTTTCTTATGCATAGTACAGAAAGAAAGAAATAGTAAACTAAAGGTAGGAAATAAGATAAAAAACTGAAATTGAACTAAATCTAGTTTACGCCAGCATCATTCACTATACCTTTCCTTATCTTTTTCTTCTTGTAAGCCATGTCCATGCGCTATTTCTAGTTGTAATTTTCTATATGGTTCTCAGCAGTACAGTCATATTGATTGCTCATTATTATTTTGATCAATGACACATAAAACATTTTAGTAAGATAGAAATAGATTAGGTTTCCACTTTAGTCATACCCTTGATACATGCAGCATTTCCTGCTAACTATAAGGATGCAATACCAACCAGATTTAGCACATTTTGGCCAGTATGGCATAAGCACAGCTAAGTCGTCTTTATCCCAGCTGGTATCTTTAATTGAAAGACTACTTTGCAAGTCAACATTTTGTTACCTGTACCTCACCACGTAAGTACTGACACACACTCAAGAGATGGATTGAGCAGTATCTCTCATAAAAGATAAATCTAGCAATATTTTTCAGGAGTTCTCATTGCTTCTTTTAAGGCTGGCAGCACCATTCCATCACACAAAGAAACATTTGCTACTCCCTAGATTCACCCAGTCATTTCTCCCAACTAGCTTAACTAAGCTAAGATGGGCAAGGATCTGAAGAACATCTTATAAGCTGGGCAGTTACAAGTGTCATGTTGAAAACTTCAGCTTTCCAAAATTGAAGATAATTATGTATAACTGGACAAGACGGTGTGCTAGATGGCACTTCATAAGATGGCATGTCAAAAGTAGTGCAGTGTGGAAATCAGTATCAATTTTATTCTTTGCAAATTTGTCACTGCAAATTGAACCTGCTAAGAAATTAGATTTTAGTACTTAGTGTTTCTAAGGAAACAGCATACCCACCCTTTCTGAGAATATCAGTATAGCCATTTAAATAATTTTTCTCTCTTTTATTAAATTCAAAAAGCATATTTATCTTCACAGGATTACAAGTTGAATATGTAAGATTAATTTCCTCAGATCAAGAAATATGTCTGATGAAGATATTATCAGTACTTTAGCCTACACAAAGAGCCCAAAATTCTCCAAAAGAACCACTTTTCAGGTAAAATAATTTTTACTACTCTGCATCCTGTTATTAGAAATTTGAGTTCTTCAAAGCATTTTAAAGAGGTGCTTCATAAACCATGTTAGCTTGACAGAAGTAGTTCTCACCAATTATAGCAATGCCATTCTTTTGAAGGCTCACATAACTGTCAAAGACAATCCGTCTGTCTGCACACAAACAGTGCAGGTGCTTTAACACTTAAAAGAGAGGTGCTTTATTAGTGTTAACATAGTTTGCAAAGGACCTCTTTAAAATGCTTTGTTCAACCTGATTTGAAATATTAATAGTTTGTTTTTGTCTTGTACATTTTTAAAAAATCTACTTACTTAAAATTTGTACATATTTAATATTCATAACAGCTGGAAAAACTGGACAAAGGAATATATGCAATTCTAATTGAAAAACTGGAATAGAAAATATATGCATGAAGATGTAAAGATCTTTTTAAAAAATAAGGACTTCTCATTGTTTAAGAGTTGAGAAAGACCGCTTTAGATTTACATACATGTATTATGTCTTGCTTTATTCTTTTTGATTAAGGAATCTTACTGATTTTGAAGTATTTGAGAAGGAACCAATAAAAAAACTGATAATAAAACCACTGTAATCTTTAAAAAGAGAGAACAAAAATGGCACTTTATAGTAGCTATGCAAAAACTTGGCCAACTGCTGAAAAAAACAATTCAGGTTTTCCTTAGCAGTGGCATACTAGACAACACCTTAAACTTTTTAAAATACTAATGGTTATATAGAGGTTCATATTGTCTGAAATATGTAAGTGTCAGGATTTGAATTCTCTGAAGCATCATTTGATTGATGATTTGATTATGTGCCATAAAGACATTGTTAACTCATAGCAACCACATATATAGATCTTTCTCCATGACAATCTGTCCCTAATCTGAGGTCTTCTAATGGTGCACTTATCGCCAGTGTAACAGATGATTCCATCTTGCTGCTGGTTTTCCTCTTCTTTTTCCTTCTATCTTTCCCAACATTAGAGTCTTCTCCAGAGAGCTAGGTCTTCGCATAATGGGTCCAAAGTAGGATAATTTGAGCCTGGTTATCTGTGTCTCAAGTTGATTTGTTCGGTGATCCATTGGTTTGTTTTCTTGGCAGTCCACTATATTCTTAGGAGTCTTCTCCAATACCAAACTTCAAAAGCATCAATAATCTTCCTGTCCTGCTTCTCCAAAGTACAATTTCACTTCTATAGTGTGTCACAGGAAATACCATGGCCTGCATAATTCTAATCTTTGTAGGGATAAACATATCACCATGTTTGAATATCTTTTCCAAGGCCTTCATGGCTGCTCTACCAAGTACTAGTCTGCAGCATATTTTTTGACTGCTAGTCTTTACTGCTGATAGTTTATTCTAAAGAGCTATCCACAATTTTGATATCTTCATTGTCAATTCTAAGGCTGGTTATTACACATGTTGTCATTACTTTGGTTGTCTTTATATTTAATTTTAGTCTCATTTTTTTACTGTGCTCCTTAATTTTTATTACTAGACCTTGTAGATCCTTTGCATTTTCATCAGCATGGCCCAGGTTATTGATGTTTCTTCCTCCAATTTTAAACTATGCTCCTCTTCTTCCAATACAGCTTTCCTTAATAATATACAGTATATAGGTTGCATAAATAAAGGAAGAGTATGCAGCTTTGTCACACACTTTTGCCTGTTCTGTCCATAATGGTGCTTTGTGACCAGTATGTAAGTTTCTCATGAGGACAATTGGATATTCTGGGATTTACATGTTTCTAAGCACATTCTACATTTTGACTTGATCGACCCAATCATAGGCCTGTCTATAACCAATGAAGCACATACTGACTTCTTTTTGGTATTCTTTGGCTTTCTCAATTATCCAGCGTGCATCAACAATAATGTCTTGTGTCATTGGGCTTTTCTAAAGCCAGCTTAAACACCTGGTATCTCTTTTTCCATGTTTCCATAATTTGCATTGGATGATTCTAAGCATTATTTTGCTAGCACGTGAATTTCAGGATATTGTATGATAGTTTGCATACTTCATTAAGTCTCCTTTTTCTGGTATTGGAATGTAGATTGACCTCTTACAATATGTTGGCCGCTGTATTGTTCTCCAGATTTGCTGGCATAGCTTGGTTAGAACCTTTACTGATTCATCCTGTTGCTTGCCATATTTCACTGGGTATTGCATCAGTTCCTATAGCCTTCTGAGTTGGTAATAACCAGAATGTTGATCTAACTTCATCTTCTAGTACTAGAGATTCTTGTAAGCAGGGAATATCTTCTGAGGTATCTTGGATGTTGACATCTCTACTGTACAGCATTTCAGTATACTCCTTCCATCTTCGTTTCATCTCCTTTGAATCAGTTACTATCTGTCCATTGGCATCCTTTAGCTTACCAATTCGAGGTTGGAACCTCCTTCTGAGTTCAGAGATCTTTTGAAAGGCTTTCCTTGTTTTTCCATATCTGTTTTCATCTTCAGTGTTTTTACAGATGTTGTTGTAATACTGCTTCTTGTCTCTTCTAACAGCTCTCTGAAACTCCTTGTTAAGTTCTTTTCTGAGATTTTTGTCTTTCTTGGCTTTGGCTTCTCTTTTCACTTGGCAATTTCCATGGTTTATTCTGACATCCAGTTTGTTTTCTTCTGTTTCTTTATTTTTGGCAGTCTTTTTTCACATTCATCCTTAAGAACTTATTTAAAGTTCATTCCACAATTCATCTGGTTCTTTATCAATGAGGTTCAGGACTTCAAAGCAATTCTTGAAAATGGTAGGTATATATTCAAAATCATATTGTGGAAACTGATTGGCTGTCTTCTTCTTTAGCTTAGCTTGGAACTTGCACATGAGCAGTTCATGATCTGTTCCACTGTCAGCATCTGGGCATGCTTTTGATGCTATAATTGGCTCCTTCACCTCCTTTTAACAATAATAAGTCAATGTGATTGCTATATATCCATATCCATATCCAGAGTATGTACGTATGCATATACCTCTGGGGAGGTCAGAGCAGACTACACTATTCAGGTGGTGACAGGGAGAGGGTATTATGATGGGAGTCAGAGGGCAGGCCACTCTGGGGGAAGAAGCCTCCAATGTTTCATACTGGTAGCGTGTTCTGGCCCTCTGGACTCAGACCCAGGCCCTGGACAGCAGACCTCTGTAGACCCTGGCTTTTGGCTGCTGCTTCTTAACGCCAGGTCAGTTAACCACAAGGCTCCCCTTATATGTGAGTTGATCACTGAGGAATGGGCTGACCTGGCATATATCACTGAGACCTGGCTGGGCCCTGAAGTGAGGGGTGCCCCTTTCAGAAATGTGCCCAGCCAGGTTTACAGTTTGGCACCAGCCAAGACCCCAAGGTAGGGGAGGAAGGGTAGCAGTTGTCATCAGAGAATCTCTGTTGGCCTTCAGGGCACTGCTCCGCAAGTGGCTGGTTGTATGACCCTGTTCCTGAAGTTGGGTTCGCGAGCACAGTTGGGATTATTGTTACTGTACCAGCCTCCTTGCTGTGTAGCAACTTCCCTGCCTGAGCTGCTGGAGGCCATTGTGGGGCTAGTAGTGGAGTTCCCCAGACTGATGGTCTTGGGAGACTTCAATCTGCTGTCCCCAGGGTGTGCCTCAGAGGCAGCCTGGCTGCCATGGTAGCTATGGGCCTGTCCCAGATTATCCGTGACCTGGCTTGGAACAGTGGTCTCACAGCGGACTTGGTTTTCTTGTCAGAGCAGTGGCAATATGATCTGAAGGAGGAATTACATCTGTCCCCCTTGTCATGGTCAGATCATATCCTGGTGGCCTTGAGATTCTCCTATGCTACTCCTCTCCACAGGGAGGTAGGACCCATTCAGTCGGTCTACCCTCGGTGACTAATGGACCCAATTGAGCTCCAAAGGGAGCTGGGGGTTATACTCGAGAGTCTGCTGCATGGTCCAGTGGAGGCCTTGGCCGCTACCTGGAATAGGAAAGCTGCTGAGGCCTTGGACAAGAACGCACCCATGTGACCTCTCTTGACCCATTGAACCCACCACCCTCTGTCGTTTATGGAAGAGTTGAGGGTTTTGAAAAGAGTTAAAAGATGTCTAAAGTGCCACTGGAGGAAAACAAGGACCGAACCTGACCAAACACAAGCTAGAGCCGCTATTAAGGCCTACCTTGTGGCGGTAAGAGTGGCGAAATGTCAATATTTCTCCATTTTGATTGCATCTGCAGAATGCTGCCCAGCAGCCCTGTTTAAGATCACCCGATCTCTTTTGGGAAAGGGGGGCTCAATAGCCCATTTACAGGGCCGCACAGAGGAGCCTTCTAGGCATCTGGAGGATAAAATCGCTCGGATCCAGTTCCAGTTGGATACCAAGTATGAGGCATGGTCTATAGAGATGCCCAGGGTACATTCTTACCCTATTATCTGGGAACAGTTTGATCCTGTTGAACCTAAGGAAGTGGACAGGAAGGTCCTCTGGAAGGTCAATGCCACTACCTGTCAACTAGATCCATGTCCCTCCTGGCTGCTTAAAGCTTCCTGGGAAGTGACATATGAGTGGGTCCAGGCAATGGTGAATTCATCCTTGAGAGAGGGGGTGTTTCCAGCTGCCTTTAAAGAAGCGCTGGTGCACCCCCGCCTTAAGAATCCCAACTGGATCCCACCATACTGGACAATTTTCATCCGATCTCCCACCTCCCTTTTTTAGGGAAGGTGGTTGAGAAGGTGGTGGCATTGCAGCTCCAGAGGATCCTGGAGGAAACCGATTATGTGGACCCTTTTCAGTCAGGTTTCAGGCCCGGATATGGGATGGAAACAGCATTGGTTGCACTCATGGATGATCTCTGGCAGGAGCGGGATGGGGATAGTGGATCCATCCTTGCTCTTCTTGACCTCCCAGTGGCTTTCGATACCATCAACCATGGTATCCTTTTGGGTCGATTTCGGGAGTTGGGAGTGGGTGGCACAGTTTTGCACTGGTTCTCTTCCTTCCCCCAAGGTTGATCCCAATCAGTGTT